AGAGAGAGAGAGAGAGAGAGAGAGAGAAAGAAAAGCGCAGTCCGTTACCTAACGTCGTCAATTCTACCACGTTAATGTAGCCGGGATTTTTAATTTTGAGCAGAAAAGTTGATACGATCTAAATAATGTTACGGCATGAGACCGCATTTTTTCGTGGTCGTTAAAAAGACAATGGCAACACATGCCATAATAAAAATTAATACCCGCCATGAAATCATTGTCCCGGTCCGCCAACAAAATCATTCAGTGGGTCTTCTAACCCATGCCCAGTGTGTTGTGATGATCGCCGTGACATAGAGTCGAACACAGGTAACACAAGGTACACATGTACAGTTGGAGATGTCTTAGTACTCTTCTTAGATATTTACACATTGTCGAGGAGAGAAGTGGCTTCTCAGACAGGTGGGCCTCTTCCACAGCGTGTTTATAAAATTTAAAGAACAAAGAACAAGCAAACAAACAACAATAACAACAACAAAAACCCCACCCCCAAAAAACAACAAACCCACCACACAAACAAACAACAAACAAACAAACAAAATCCAAAAACAAAACCTTCTAATGTAAAAAAAAAATGAAAGAGGAGAAATAGGAAGTGGCCGTTTGTGCAAGTTATCGTCTAATACCGGTAGCCATAAAAGCATCTTTAACTGTGTTAGGTTTAGCCGCATAAATTATTTTGACGCAGTGACATACGTGAGGTAATTTTAGTAGAGCAAAACACTAACGACAGTTAAACAACAACATCATCAACAATAACGACATAAATCTAAACCAAAAAAGAACTTGAGCAGAAAATGTGACGACAGAAACATTATTTCTTTACGAATGACTTGACAACAACAATACCAAGAACAACAACAAAAGAGTAACGAATATTAATAATGATAGTAATAACAATGTTACTAATAATTATGTTAATAATAATACTAAATATAAACCTAATAATATTAATGTAATTAATAACAATAACAATAATAGTAATAATGATAACAACAACAACAATAATGAAAATAACAATAATATTAATAATAATAATAATAATAAAATAATAATATAAAACTGAAAATAATAATAATGATAATAATATTATTATTGCAATTAAATAGTTACTGTTATTGTAATAATGATATTCATAGCTACAGTATAATAATTTCTTAAAAAACCCAACAAATAAAACACTATCAATAATGATGTAACCATAGTAATAATACTGATGCACAACAACAAAACCCATAACAACATCATCAACAGCAACAACAACGACAACAACAACGATAACAAGAAGAAGAAGAAAAAGAAGAAGAACAACTACGTTAACAACAATAATAATAGAAACAGTAGATACACTGTTTCCTTAACATCATCCCTCGGTTTCTCTATACATTGTACGTCCCTAAGTTCATGAACTTTATACTCTTTAGTTTCCGCTTTCACTGCTCCTACAAAACTTCCTGATCTTATTATTATTTTTATCTATACGTGTGGGTGTGGGGTATTATGTTTTGTTCATTGTATTTACACAGTACACAACATCCTGGCTTCGTATACAGCATGAACAGAAGTAGAACGATTGCTTTTTTTTTGTTAACAAAAAAAAAAAAAAAAAAAAGAAAAAAAAGAAAAGAAAAAAAAGAGAGTCCCTCGGAATTCTAAGGTCCCAAATGACGAAAGTTAGATTATATCAAAGTGTTGGTTTCGAACCTCACAAGGCCCTAACATAAAGCCCTAGAATATTATTTTCAAAAGGAAGCATTTGGTCCCTCAGCGGGACACTGCCAAAAGAGATGATCGATTTAGAAACATATTATGAAATTTATCTAGAACAATACAAAACTGCATCTCAAACAAGAATATCCCAACCAGTTGTCAACATTAATTTATCTTGTCTAAGTGCAAGCAAATTCGTTCAAAGGGAAAACGTTCATGTGCTGGTCCGGAGTATTGTTACCTTTAACTCTCTCGCTTTTATACTCCACCCCTTCTCCTTTCAGTCTGTGTGTCTGTGTGCGTGTGTGTGTTTGTGAATGTGTCTGTCTGTCTGTCTGTCTGTCTGTCTGTCTGTCTGTCTGTCTGTCTGTCTGT